AGCTGACTTACATACACACAGCTGACTTACATACACACAGCTGACTTACATACACACAGCTGACTTGCATAAACATAGCTGACTTACATACACACAGCTGACTTACATACACACAGCTGACTTACATACACACAGCTGACTTTCATACACACAGCTGACTTACATACACACAGCTGACTTACATACACACAGCTGACTTACAGACACACAGCTGACTTACATAAACATAGCTGACTTACATACACACAGCTGACTTACATACACAAGCAACGAAGCCAATAAGCAAGACAGGCATCCTCATTGCAATATATAAACCTCCCCCTTTTAATATTAATGTACCAGCATAGCCTCAAGGCTCTTCTGCCTTCTTAGTAACACGGTATTACCCGTCTCTGGTATACCTTATATGGCGACCCCGTCTAAAATATATATATATATATATATATCAAGGGGGGGGGGGAGGGGACTATTGCTGCCGGCTTTTGGCAACAGTCCCTTACTGGCCCAATGAGAGACACCACAGTCTGGTAAATCCAGCGTTGTTCTTTTATGTCAATGGTGAGGAAATATTTGATTTCTGAGTTTGTTATCGAGTTCTTCAATGTGTTCTTTCACCCAATGAGAGACACCACAGTCTGGTAAATCCAGCGTTGTTCTTTTATGTCAATGGTGAGGAAATATTTGATTTCTGAGTTTGTTATCGAGTTCTTCAATGTGTTCTTTCACTATTCACTCCTTTTCACGGAGTATCAAATACAGAGAACTTAGGCTAGGGAAACTATCTTTTAATTCATGAATGAAGGATCACGGTAATGAATGAAGGCGTTTAGGAGATGAATGAAGGATCACGGTGGCGAATGAAAGCGTTCATGAGATGAATGCCGAGTCATATCCTCACACGTTTTCACTAATCATTCTCACCTACTGATGTTCCTCCACCTCTAGCATTCCCCTTCCCCTCCCCCCATTCCCACCCCCTACCTCCCCTCAAACCCCTCCCCCCCAAACCCCTTCCCCCTCCCCTCAAACCCCTCCCTGGTAAGTGGAAGGTGAGGTAATTATCAAGACACAGCTGATAATTATAATATAATATTTTGGCAAGAACGACCAAAATTATCCCCCACCAAATACTTCTCCTTCATTGGTTAAACCCTATAGTCCTCCCCTTTTCCTTACGTCTTCCTCCTTTATCGCTTCACTCTTTATTCATATTTTTGGATTCCTCAATCATCAGAATATATTCCACTTTCCTGTCATGACTGTACTAGTTCGACTCATACTGAACTTGAGGGTTCGCCACTGAATTATTAAAAGACAAAGGCGGTGGAATTAATTATTCCGTGACTCGCAGAGTGCGTTCCCGGCAATGAACACCCAGAAAATAGTCAGTGATATTTGAATGAATGTTTTAGCTGCTAAAGAAAGCTGATTTCAACTTAAATTTCCTTGGATACCATGACATGTTGGCATCTCAAAGCATGATATACTTGACATGCTTGTAAAGACAGCCTGTAGTGGACCTGTAGTATGTAAGACAGATATAAATGGATGTATTTATGTAGGTTAGATTAGCTTTTTAAAAGTACTACAATCACCTGTGATCAATAATTCACTACACTATATGTTTAAGAGACCTCTCACCCCTGTCCATGGAGGACAGAAGAAAATGTATATATGCTGATTAGCATTGTAAGTGTGTAGCCACGTCTGGGGTAAAAAAAAATTCATCATCTTTTCCATTTCTACCACCCCTTTTCCCTTTGAATTAGCCAGGGATGACTTGTAACATAGGGGAAATCGCAGAGGAAAAGGAGGAGGGAGGGAGAGAGAGAGAGAGAGAGAGAGAGAGAGGAGAGAAAGGGGGGAAGTTTGTGTGAGTGTCCAGAAGGGAGAAAATATGTTGGCGAAAGAGGAGGATGACTGGAGAGTATTGGTAGGGGGAGATAGGAGACTGGAAGGGGGGGGGGGGGGGAGAGGGAGAGGTAATGCCCCCCCCCCTCCCCTAGTGCTGACCAACTGGTGCTTGACCTCTGACCTAGGCGCCTCGCTGCCCACCTGTGTCCCAACTCTCCACCACCAACGTCTTCTCCCTTCTCACTAATTCCCCTTCACCCCTCTCCCCCCCCTCCCCCCCCCCCCCCCCCCCTCTCCCCCCCCTCTCCCCCCCTCTCCCCCCTCTCCCCCCCCTCTCCCCCCCTCTCCCCCCTCTCCCCTCCCCCCCTCTCTCCCCCTCTCCTCCTCTCTCCCCCCCCCCCCCCCCCCTCTCCCTCCCCCCCACACCCCTTTCCCTCTCTTTACTCAGGTACAGGAACAGACGACATCCGATGCCTGTTAACAGGCTAAGAACTCTCCCTTTCAATAGCTCATAGCAAGCTTTGTCCCATACTTTTTCCTGGAACTAGAGCCGCTAATCGGGAAACAACCAGGTATCCAATTACTGCTGGGTGAACAGGGGCGAACAGTATGCTGGTTAGTACTGTAAATGTATGGTCGGGGCGCCTAGACAGTCTTCCTTGACCAGGACTCGAACCCAGCCCAAATTGCTCACGAGGTGCGGGGCTAATGTGTTACCACTGTGCCATTACGCTTGCTCTCTCTCTTGTGTGTGTGTGTGTGTGTGTGTGTGTGTGTGTGTGTGTGTGTGTGTGTGTGTGTGTGTGTGTGTGTGTACAAACTTGATCACATTTGAAAGGACCATTTTGTCGCTTTCGTGCGACAAATTGCGTGTGTACTCCCTAACATTTAGTAAGAAACTAGGCAAGAGTTAACATGGAAATAACACGACTCCGAGGATGCACGCAATTTGCCGTGTAAAACCACCAATTCTAAAATCTTCTTTTTTAAAATGTGTTGATCTTGGCATTCGTGAGATCAATCAAGTGTGTCGTGATCTACTTGCTTCGGCCCTCGGCGCCAACTTCACCCTGTAAACAAAAATAAAACTTACAATAAGGTTTATTCCTCATGAATAACTAATTAAACCCATTAAATAAAACAGTTTCTTGGCCCAGGATTCAGCTGAGTAAGTGTTGAATACAAATTCTTGACTTAAAGTGTCATAGGGAGCTTCAGCACTAGTGTTCTAATAAATGACAGCTTACTCCCATATATTTATGGTAGTGTATATTATGCCAAAAATTTTGGGTTATTCGGCAGTAACGATTTTTTTTAATAAGGATATAGGGAGGGCGTTAGGGCGCTTTGTGGTCTAGCGGTGGAGAGCTTCGATTCACAGTCTTCGGGGTCCCAGGTTCGAATCCTGGCTGGAGCAGAAACAAATTGACAGCGTTTCCTTACCTCCCGCCGCCCCCCCTGTTCACCCAGCATCAGTTGCGACCTGGTAGTAAACCGATTGGTGGGGAGTGTTCCAGGGGGAAAACTTGTAGTAGGGTGGGACATAGCATGAAGTATAGGAAGGGAAATATTAGGGTAAATTTCTTGTTTGGCTCCTTATATTTCGTGTTTGGCTCCTTATATTTCATGTTTGGCCCCTTACATTTCATGTTTGGTCCCTTACATTTCGTGTTTGGTCCCTTACATTTCGTGTTTGGCTCCTTATATTTCATGTTTGGCCCCTTACATTTCGTGTTTGGCCCCTTACATTTCGTGTTTGGCTCCTTATATTCGTGTTTTTCATTTCGTGTTTGGCCCCTTACATTTCGTGTTTGGCTCCTTATATTTCGTGTTTGGCCCCTTACATTTCGTGTTTGGCCCCTTAAATTTCCTGTTAGGCCCCTTACATTTCGTGTTTGGCCCCTTACATTTCATGTTTGGCCCCCTTAAATTTCGAGTTTTGAGTGTGTAAGTCATGTGGACGCTGTTGTTGTTAAAGATTCGCTACCTGGAACAAAAAGTTCCAAGTAGCACGGGCTATGGTGAGCCCGTAAGTGGACGCGGCCCAAGATACGGTGGTGGACGATGAAGGCGGCCCTGTTATTCCTGACGATCTGACGACAACCCTGAAGCCTGTTTAAGTTAGTCTAAGAGATCTTATCAGTGGTCGTAAGGTCCCTTTTAGTAGTCTTGGAGGCCAGGAGGTTGTCTGAAGGAATCAAGACTTGGTCTTGAAGGGCACGAAGGGAAGGGTAAACAGATAAGGGAAGAGATAAACAGATAGCAAATACTAACCGGTATAATATTTGTTACAGCCTTCCGTATGTGCGTGTTTGTGTACTAATCGAGTTTAAATCCATACGTGGGTTTGCGTGCATGTGTGAAAAAAAAATATGTGCGTGCGCGTGTGTGCAAATATGTAATTTGTTGGTATTTACTGTTTGTGCTTGGAGGGGGGCCCCGAGTTCGAATCTTGGTCAAGGCAAGAACAAATGGATGGAGTTTCTTTCAACCTGATGCGTCTGTTCAACTAGCAGTAAATAAGCATTTGGGAGTTGGATAGTTGCTATAGGCTGCTTCTTGGGGATGCGTGTGTGTGTTAGAGAGATATATATGTAGTCGACATAACACAGGAAAAATAGGTTGGTTAGAAAGGCGGGTTCCGAGAGATAACAGCTCGATTCTGCAGACACAAATAGTATACACACACAATTTGCAACTTTAAAAGCAGGTATGATATAGAAATAGGTCAGAAGTCATTGCATTAGATTGGCTTTACTATTAGGAAAATGGAGCGTTCTCCACTAGGCCGCGAGGACCTGTGTGTGTGTGTGTGTGTATGTGTGTGTGTGTTGGTTTGAATAGTTATCTTGAGGTTATCTTGAGATGATTTCGGGGCTTTTTAGTGTCCCCGCGGCCCGATCCTCGACCAGGCCTCCACCCCCAGGAAGCAGCCCGTGACAGCTGACTAACACCCAGGTACCTATTTTACTGCTAGGTAACAGGGGCATAGGGTGAAAGAAACTCTGCCCATTGTTTCTCGCCGGTGCCTGGGATCGAACCCAGGACCACAAGTCCCGCGTGCTCTCCGCTCGGCCGACCGGCTCCCCTAAATTAGCGTTATCCCCTATGAGTTATATTAGCGCTTTGACCTGAAGGCTTCCTAGGAAGGTCCTCAACGGCCCAGGTCTGAAGATGGTCCTCAACGGCCCAGGTCTGAAGATGGTCCTCAACGGCCCAGGTCTGAAGATGGTCCTCAACGGCCCAGGTCTGAAGATGGTCCTCAACGGCCCAGGTCTGAAGATGGTCCTCAACGGCCCAGGTCTGAAGATGGTCCTCAACGGCCCAGGTCTGAAGATGGTCCTCAACGGCCCAGGTCTGAAGATGGTCCTCAAGCCCCATATATATGTTTTTCCTCAAAAAAAAATTAACCCAGGGTTAAAAAATTGTCAATAGGAGCTTGGCAGATATAAGATGAATGACGTACGGTAATTTGTGCATTCTCTAGAGCAGGATGTGTCGAAATCTATATTCTAATTGTAGAGCAGTTGTGTCATTTCTATCAGAGCCTCTAAGACGAATGCACCATAAACTGATATAGAAACACATTGAATGAATTTGAAAATGTACTTTTGTTTGAGACTGCTCGAAACATTTTTATTACTATAATTCCCTCAATGCAATTTAGTTTGTTTAAAATATTAGGATTGTGTTTAAGCTATTAACAAAAGGTAACTGGCCAAATGTCAATGAGGGAACTTCCACTGGATAACTGGACCTCTTCTTTAATGTGAAAAGTTGTGAAAGAACTTCAGAAACCTTTAAAGTCAACTCTAGAGACACATGGAGGAAGATATGGTAATCTGAAGTCAACTGGTGGAAGGGAGGGAATTTTGAAGTTTTTTCCAAAGTAATTTTGAAGAGTTTTCCAAAGTAATTTTGAGGAGTTTTCCAAAGTAATTTTGAAGAGTTTTCCAAAGTAATTTTGAAGAGTTTTCCAAAGTAATTTTGAAGAGTTTTCCAAAGTAATTTTGAAGAGTTTTCCAAAGTAATTTTGAAGAGTTTTCCAAAGTAATTTTGAAGAGTTTTCCAAAGTAATTTTGAAGAGTTTTCCAAAGTAATTTTGAAGAGTTTTCCAAAGTAATTTTGAAGAGTTTTCCAAAGTAATTTTGAAGAGTTTTCCAAAGTAATTTTGAAGAGTTTTCCAAAGTAATTTTGAAGAGTTTTCCAAAGTAATTTTCCAAAGATTTCCAAAATAACATGGAAATTACTTTGGAAATCTTGAGAAATTTGTAAGCTGTGGGAGTTTGTAGTCACAAGCGGAAAATATACCCTCAAACAGGCTACAAGTTGCAAGATTGGAAGCCAGTCATTAATAGGCGGAGACTGAGGGGAAGAAGCAGGTTATGGATGTAGGCTCAAAGCAGGGAAAACAGGCATCGTCTCGAGATGAACACCAAGTAGTTAGCGGAGGCAGAGATGAAGATGCTGAGATTGAGGGTGCAGAAGGTGGAGGCCCGCGGATGATGGATGGGATGGCCAGGATTATATATTTTGGATGTAGAAGAAATTGTCTTGACGTGAGCCCAGTTAATCGGCTGCTTCGCCCACGCTGGAATTGTTGTGAACAATTGATTGTCGCTCACCAGACTGGCTTTGTAGGAGAATAGTGAGGAGTGTGAGAGGAGGAGGAAGAGGAACCAATTGGTGAGTGAAGGAGAAGAGGAACCAATTGGTGAGTGAAGAAGAAGAGGAGCCAATGGGAAAGGGAAGGAGGGAGAGGAACCAATAGGAAGCCATGATCGTGACAAACCAGCAGTAGCACACTTACTGTTCGGTCAGCCCGTTAAAAAACAGATGTATCTTCGCTAGTTAGCACCACGTGCTTGACCTTGGCTCAATGGCACCTTGGATTATAATCATTCATTTTGTTGTGGGGGGCCAGGAAGCCTGTGTGTATATTTATTTTGTGGGTATCTAAGCGGCAAAAGGTTGAACTACTGACCTCTCCCCCCGTGGATGCTACCCCCCCCCCTCCCCCCGCCCCCACAGCAGTTGCCTAACTCCCGGGTATCTAATTACCGAACTAGGGAATACCCCAGCACCTTAGGGAGGCTATTTAGACCCCAGGACTATGTCACATCCTATGTAGACCCCAGGACTGTGTTTAGTGTTGGTAAGTGTGTCCCTGAACCATGATCTGCCAGCTGCTTTACAACCAGGTTCCTAATTACAAACTGGATGAAAAGGAGCTAACAGTTAAATTTGTTAAATTAATTGATTTTATTTCAGAAATATTGCTGCACGGATCCTGAGAAATAAACAAAAAGAAGCCATTGGCTGGTTCTCTAGGTTGATAAACTGCCCAATTTACCCTCTCTACCTTGGATGAAATCACTGGTGAGGCGTGGGCAGGAACATAAGAACAAAGGTAACTACAGAAGGCCTATTGGCCCATACGAGGCAGCTCCTATCTATAACCACCCAATCCCACTCATATACTTGTCCAACCCGCGCTTGAAACAATCAAGCGTGGGGTTAAGCGAGCGTAGGGTTGGTCGACCGTCGGATGGGTCAAGCAAAGAGATGGGATGAGCCTGACATGCGGGCGAACGACATGTTTAAGATTCAGTTACTGGGAACAAAAAGTTCCAAGTAGCACGGGCTATGGCGAGCCCGTAGTGGACTTACTTGGCACAGGAGCGACAGGTCTGATGGTCTACCTATTTCGCTCCCTGCTGTGTAAAAAGCCACATCATATTTAACTTTCATCAGAACACACAAAAAACTGGTTTTGATATACGATGTTGGTAGAAAATCTTTACAATAAACATTCTACCCTGAATATGTGTATAGTTTTTAAATACTTTTAGGAGGGATTTTTGTTTAACGCAACGCTCTTAAATTCTACGGGCTCACCATAGCCCGTGCTACTTGGAACTTTTTGTTCCCAGTAACTGAATCTTAAACAACAACAAAACTCTGAAACTATGCTTTCAAAGGTAAATTTACCTGCAGCACACGCAAGCGGGTGCACGCGAGGGAAGGGGAGGAGGAGGAGGGGGGGGGGGAGAGCAGGTTTAGCAACCTTCATGGGGGCTGAACAACCCCTGAACAGCCCCAGAACTACACTGTTCATCACTGAGTAGTCCAGGACATCCCTAGAACATCCCTGTTCCTGTTCATCTGTTCATCCCTGTTCATCACAGAGTAATTCTGCCAGGGGCGGCATCTTTAAGGTGGTGCTTGACGCATTCTCTTTCACGCAAAATTATTGTTCGCGCTCTGCTACGTGACTTCGAGTCCCTGAAGATGCTGCTACTTCGACTCCTTCAAATCTGAGCGAGCTGGATTTCTCAAGCATTTACACAATTACTAATGAAACCTTTGTCTCGTTCATCAATCTTTGGTTATATTTATTGAACGGTTTACAAGGTTCTAAACTTTACAGCCCGCTGTTATTGTTATAAACGAGCTCGTAAACTGTTTAATAAATGTAAACACAGCTGCCACTATTGATAAGAGATGTACAGGTTTCGAAAGTAAAGGGGGTAAATGAGTGATGCATCCGGGGGACCAGATTGCTATATCTCCATGTTACACTGCTCTCTTTGATCATAGTTTGTTCCATAGATTAATAACCGAGGTTGTTCCATAGATTAATAACTGAGGTTATACATGGGTTATGAGGACGATGTTGAGAGCCAGGTTATAAGGGAGAGAAGAGGTGGTAACGTGGGTTGTGTGAGGGAGAGAGGTGAGGAAGGAGGAGGCAAGTAACCTTGAGGGCCCTGGCTAGGTGCTGGGTGCTGGGTGCTAGGTGCTGGGTGCTGGGTGCTGGGTGCTAGGTGCTGGGTGCTGCCCGATTGCTGTACCCGGCTTCAGCCTCTGTAATTTGCTCATAATATGATGTTGTCCGAAGTTCCTCAAGAACTTCCGTCACCCGATATCTGCTTTTTGTAGATTCAACGGTCCTTGTACTTCTTTTCACTCTCCTTCTTCCTCTCTCTCTCCTTCTCCCTCTCTCTCCTTCTCCCTCCCTCTCCCTCTCTCTCCTTCTCCCTCCCTCTCTCCATCTCCCTCTCTCCTCTCCCCTTCTCCCTCCCTCTCTCCATCTCCCTCTCTCTCCTTCTCCCTCTCTCTCCTTCTCCCTCTCTCTCCTTCTCCCTCTCTCTCCTTCTCCCTCCCTCTCTCCATCTCCCTCTCTCTCTCTCCATCTCTACACTCCCTCTTCACCCGATCTCTTAGAACATGTTATAAACTACTGAACAAACAGTTGAACATCTCTCCAGAAACAAATTTTCAGGTGCGACAGGTTTTCAGATACCAAATTTTCAGATGTTCATGAGAGTAGCAGTAATAGCCGTTCCTTCTTAGCGAGAGAGCAGTGGAACTAACGCTGCCGAAGACAACTCCCCATTGCTACTAAAGTGTCATCCTGCAAAGTTGGATATGGCAAAATCTCCAACCTTAGATTCTAGGGGAAAGATACCCAGCTGTGCAGGGGTCTTCCTTCCCCTCGTCCCCACCTTCCCCCCCCCCCCACTCACTGTGGGGAAGGTGGTGGGGGGGGGGGGAGAGTGTGCCAATGAGACACCTTTGATGAGCCGTGTCTGTCTCGTGTTCAGACTGGTAGATTGATGCTGCCTCACTGGCTTATCCTTCTCAGTGTCCGGTTTGCGAACTTATTTTTTTTATTTTTTTTTTTTTACATGGGCACTATTGAGGAGAAAATTCTTGTTGATATGGATCTTAATCCTGACGACTGAAAAAGGTATGTTGACATTTTCTTCCAGTTACCCCGATATGGAAGGCTTTTCTTAGACGCTCTGGAAACTTTGCTTGAAAGTTTCGTGTTAAGTTTTTCTAATATATCTTTACTACCGTGGAAAAATATGAAGGTGTGTTGATGAATTCATCCCCCCCCCCTTCCCTTTCCCACCCCTTACTCGCTCCCCTCCCACCCCCGCTGTCTCCCCCATTACCCCCCCCCCCTCTCTCCACTCCCCCCATTCCTCCCTTCCTCCAGTTTTAGCACTCGATTCCACAATCAATAGATCAAGAATGCAGGGAGGCATCATAATTGGTTTACGGGATATTCATGCCCGTGCCACCTCTTGGGTGGCTTAATCTTTATCAATCAATCAATCATACCTGGTCACCATCCTGGAGGAACATGACTGTGGTCACCTTCGTTGGAGGATTCATCCCTACGTAGGCATTGATGTCCCTCAGTGATCCAACTAGAGATTGCTCCGTCACTCTCAGACAACACCTTCATAAATATTTAATATTTTTTAATAAATTCAGAAGATGAATATGACAATACTAGTTCATCATATTCTTCAGAATATAATGAACCACAGAGAAATGTAAATAAATGTTGATGAAAAAAGGACAAAAGAATTTCTATTTGCATATCTATAATGCTGTATATGAGTGTTTTTCATATACAGCCGTTATACTCATATATATATATATATATATATATATATATATATATATATATATATATATATATATATATATATATATATATATTGTCCTGGGGACCATTCAGGCTTGTTCGCATATATATATATATATATATATATATATATATATATATATATATATATATATATATATATATATATATATATATATATAATATATATCACTCAATCAGCAAAATCACTCAAGTACAGGCGACTGGAAGGTCAATACCTCTTTGTTCCCATAGCGTCTGAGACGCATGGCCCCTGGGGCAAGAGTGCCTTGGGATTTCTCAAGGAATTGGGTTCCAGGCTCATTGACGTCACCAGAGACCCAAGGGCTTCCAGTTTTTTATTTCAGCGTCTCAGTGTGGCGATCCAGAGGGGAAATGCTTGCTGCGTCCTCGGTTCCTGTCCAGAAGCGGAGGAGCTTCAAGAGATCCATAACCTTTAGGCATTTGTCTTGTATGTTTTGTAACCTTTAAATACACAATAAAGGAAAAAAAAAAAAAAGGAAGGGGGTGGTAGGAGAAAAGCACACAGAAACTGTATTGGAGGGGACCCACATTCCCTCCAATGCGTTATGTGTGGTTTCCTCCGAGGCTATGGGTCCCCCTTCTTCCAGCCAGAGGTGGTACTCCCTTCCCTATTGTTATTAAAAAAAAAAAAAAAAAAAAAAAAAAAATATATATATATATATATATAATATATATAATATATATAATATATATAATATATCTATGCAGGGTCCTTCCAGTTATCTCTCCAAAGAGAGAGAGTTATCTCTTTACTAGGTTATCTCTTCCAATTATCTCTCCAAAGTTCATTTTCTCACTATATTTATGGTTATATTCGGGTAATGCTTATATTCGCTTGGGGTGAGGTGACACAGGATATGATTGAGATGAACAAGTGGATCAATGGCACAATGGGTATAATAAGCCATTGCATGTTCTATCTTCTTTTACGGGCTATTCATGCCCGTGCCCCCTCTTGGGTGGCTTAATCTTTATCAATCAATCAATCTATCTTCTTGCTTCTATGTTGGTTCGGGGTCTTGAAGTGGGTAGAATGTAATTATGTGTTAATTAGCTGTTGATTGCTGGTCTTGACTTTTTGATGTGTAGTGCCTCGCTGATGTCGAGTCTCCTGTTGTCGTTGTACCTGTCGGTAATTTGTGTTTTTGTTAAGATTTATCTGGTGATGGTCTGGTTGTGTGAGATTATCTTGAGATGATTTCGGGGCTTTAGTGTCCCCGCGGCCCGGTCCTCGACCAGGCCTCCACCCCCAGGAAGCAGCCCGTGACAGCTGACTAACTCCCAGGTACCTATTTACTGCTAGGTAACAGGGGCATTCAGGGTGAAAGAAACTTTGCCCATTTGTTTCTGCCTCGTGCGGGAATCGAACCCGCGCCACAGAATTACGAGTCCTGCGCGCTATCCACCAGGCTACGAGGCCCCCTTGAGGAGACTATATACTCCTTGATGGAACCCTTGTTGCTGTTCCGTTTCCAGGGTGTTTTTGTTTTTTGTCTGATTTGAAGTTTCATGTTTAAAGTAGGAATTGTAATGTTTGAGTTCCTCTCGAGTAGATAGATCCAAGTTCCTGGTCTCTCATCTGTTATCTTATAGTAGTCTCCCTAGCTATGGGTCGTCTAACATTTCAATCGTGTTCCACACCCTGGTGACTTGCTGTTGTAGTTTGGTGTTCAGTGGTTTATGTATTACTACAAGAGCTCTGTGAATCGAGGGATTCACCGAGCTCCTGGATTGTCTGATTATATTTTAGACTGAATTTCAGCTGCTCTTTGAGTTTTCTTTTTGCACTAGTTGAAGCTCTTGCATATTTGTCAAGTTCAATTTGAAAGTTGGGTGTACAATCACCCTCAATTTCGCTCTAAGATAGCACTCAAGCATCC